GGGGGGCCAGTGGACTGTGGTCACAAATGCTGTAAGAAAGGGGAGGTAGTTAATAAGTAAGTTACGATGAAGTCAATACAGTGGAAAGAATAAACTTAATTGACACATTTAAAATAAGAAAAAAATAAAAAAATAAAATAAAAAAGGTAATTTTATGATTGAAAAACAAACAAACAAAATTACTGAGTTTGCACCGTTATTGATTTCCTTATCACATGAGAGGATAAGCATTCCCTGGAAAAGTTTATAACCTTTAGGAGCTGTTACTTTATACAAAATTGCACATTCAAATATACCATTCATTGAAAGAAATGGAATTCCTTAGGGATTGATAAACCCTTACATTGTGTGTATGAAAATGGTTTCAATATCCTGTACCTTTGCCACATCTTGAAAATTAAACTGAAAATGTAGTCAGAAACTCAACATTGTTTCCCGTATTTTGTTCTAATTGTTGAACAGACACTCCTTACCTTCCCTGACACTGGAACTGGATAGTAATCCAGAAACACTTGTATCCATTATGAAGTATACACTCAGACAAACTTACCTGGTTCTGATTAGTACTCACTCACACGGGTACATGAAAATTATCTGCAGTGTAGGGTAGGTAAAAAGATTGTCCAGGTAAACATTTTTTCCTCAATTTTTCTGTTTTGTTCGAGTTGGGAAGCATGCAGTAAGCCAGTTATTGCATTCATTTAAAGACGGCCTCCCATGTGTGCAAGATGCATGTGTGTAGTGTATGCGTATGTGTTTTGGGAGGCTGCGATATATTCGTGTTTGTCTCCTTGTGATATCGCGGAACTGATGCCGACTTCATAGTGTTACCTCACTGAAACATACTGCCGAAGACACCAAGCAGGACACCCCAACCGGTCACATTATACGGACAACGGGCGAACCAGTCGTCCTACTCCTAAATTGCTGAGCGTTAAACAGGAGTAGAAACTTCCAGTTTTACAGACTCGGCCAGGGGACGGAACCCAAAGCCTTCCTCACAGGGGCAAACGCTCAACTAAAGGCCAAAAGTGAGGCATTGTCAAGGGAGACATTAGGAAGAAGAAAGTTGTTTAGAAAGAAGAGAAAAATAAGATCCAAAATTTATTCGCCTCTTACGATCATGCAATGGGGGCAGTAGGTACAATTATTACGTTCTACCTGCAGGAACCTGGCCAAAGGCACTCAATTTTTTAAAAACGGGGGGGGGGCCCCCCCCCCCCCCCCATCTCTCTCTCTCTCTCTCCCTGGGGGCAGATGGGCGGGGCCAAATAGGGGAAATAGAGGTTCATCTTTTGTTATCCTTCTTCTACCATAAGGATTAAGGGATTTCATCCGAATTTGGTCTGGAGCATCCTTGGGCGAAGGGCTGGTTTGGTTCAGTATTGTTTAACGTCCTATCAACAGCTATGGTAATTTAAAAACGGCCTCCCCTGTGTGCAAGATGGATGCGTGTAGTGTATGCGTGTGTGTTTTGGGAGACTGCGATATATTCGTGTTTGTCTCCTTGTGATAGCGCGGAACTGATGCCGACTTTATAGTGCTACCTCACTGAAACATACTGCCGGAGACACCCAGCAGGACACCCCACCCGGTCACATTATACTGACAACGGGCGATCCAGTCGTCCCACTCCTAAATTGCTGAGCGTTAAGCAGGAGTATAAACTACCCTTTTTACAGTCTCTGGTATGTCTCGGCCAGGGGACAGAACTAAAAGCCTTCCTCACAGGGCCAAACGCCCAACTAAAGGTAAAAAGTGTGGCTTTGTCAAGGGAGACATTAGGAAGAAGAAAGTTGTTTAGAAAGAAGAGAAAAATAAGAGACAGTAGGTACAGTTCTTACGCTCTACCTGCAGGGATCTGGGCCAAGGGGACTCAATTTTGTACAAACGTTGGGTGTGGCCCCCTGGGTGCAGATGGGTTTGGCCCCAAAGGAGAAAATGAGGTAATCCTTCTTCTACCAAGATTTAGGGATTTCATCCGAATTTTGTCTGGAGCATCATTTGGCCAAGGGGACTCAAACTTGCTAAAATGGTGGGTTTGGACCCCCTGGATGGAGAGGGGCGGGCCCAAATAGGGGAAATAGAGGTGAAACTTTTAAAAGCCTGCTTCTACCGTAAAGATGCGGGTTTTTTTTTATCCTAATTTGGTCTTGAGCATCCTTGGGCAAAAATAACTTGATCTTGTATGAACGGTGGGTGTGGCCCCTTTGGGTGCAGAGGGGCGGGGCTCAAACGGGAAATTGAGGTTTAAATCTTTAAAATCCTTCTTCTTATGTACCATTTGAGGGATTTTATCCAAATTTTGCTTGATGTATCTTTGGGCAAAGGGGTCTTAATTTTGTATAAATGATGGGTGTGGCCCCTTTGGGATGCGGGGCTAAATAGGGGAATTTGATGTTTAATTCTTTAAAGTACTTCTTCTTCTGTACCATTGACGGGATTGCTTGTAATACGAATAATTTCCCATGGTTGCTTTATTATCCAGGTGTTTTCTTTTATCTCAACACCCTTGACTTACAATGGTATACAAATATATGTAACATATACAGATTTAGTGTATAATCATGCGTGATTGTACAGAGGATACAAGTATCGTAGTAATAGAAGTGTACTGCAGTTACATATAATACATGAAGTCACTAATGATATTCGATGTTAAGTTTCCGAACAGATATAAAGCATGGCCTATCATTTGCTGATTCATTTCAGGCTATAACAATTACTGTTCTGATTTATGGACCACAATAAAAGTTGTTTAATTGAATATTTTAATCGTGTTCTTGAAGATGGGGGAAAAAGGCCAGCATCTTCCGTAAAATGGCTGCTGCAGAGTGGCTTCTGATTAGTCGAAATGTATGCATTGTCCAATATCCCTATGTAAAAGTGTGCAGTTTCACTACGAACACCACTGCGATATGCGTTGATATGTTTTTATATGACAAAATGTCCGTGTTAAGTCCGGTCCTGATTGGTCGACATTTAGATATTAACCTATGCTATAGATTTGGTATGTAAATGTATTATGTAGGACTGTCAACGGTAAGCCGGTTAACCGGTTACTCGGGCGAAAGACCACGAACCGGTTACCAAAATATTTAACCGAAGAGTCGGACATTTATTTTCCCCTTTTGGGGGCCCCATGTTTCCCTGGCTTAGACCTACAAACTATCTGCATTTGTATAGATGCGACCAAAATTGGATAATTTTGTAATAAAAGCCATGTTCAGGGATTACATGTTAGTGTTAATTTTGTACTCTGATTTAAATACTTACAAAGGGATGATGCCAACACCATAAATAAATCTGAACAGGTTTTAAGAGAAAGCCAGAATACAAAGTTGTGAAATATCAAGTACCTGAGTTCGAACGCGCCTTGAGGAAAATATAATCTGACGAGTACACACTTGAATGAGCAAGCAGGTGTTAACACGTTTGTCAAGAAAATTTTATTCTATAGAATTATATTGAATCTGTGAAGATTTTTAAGACTTTTGTTGTGTATTTCAAAAGCAAACGAATAAATTATAGATTTATAAACTTCCGTGTGATAAGCAATTGGCGGCCTCGTTTCCAGATGAATTAGTGGCAGTCATTAATAATTCATTTTCATATTATAGCTCTAACGGGTCACCGTAAATGTCTACCAATTTGTCTCCTCACTGAATCTATGTGAAGAAAATTCATATGGTATGATAAAAAATAAGGTTCACTTTATCATAAAGGGGGTATTGGAGTTTGTTTGCATCTGAATTGCAGCTAAAGCATTCCAGTGCTTTAATAATTTAAAACATATTCGCTTGAGTTTAGAGAGCTTGTGTCCTTCACCAAGGTGACAGACATTATGACAGGTATTACATAATATCATGTAAAATGCGGTAACTTTCCGCAACACCTATCACAGTCTCAGTTATTTTTTAACACTGGTTTACTGTCTCTTCTCGGATCCTGGTGTGGTCTTTTTATTTAGTTTCAAGTTACTTTGTATTATTGTGTATGAAATATTTTTAATCGCCTGCCTCGAATTGTCTGTAATGCCATGCTGTGGTATCGTACGTCAGTAGTCCTACATTGTATCGACTATTTGTATGTACCACCTGTGCCAAAAACTCTTAATATTTAACCAGCAGAGACCTTAAACGGTTGCGGAACACTTGACTTCCTTTTAAGGTAACTGTGGTCTTACATGTTAAACGTTTCAAACAACATTATATAACAAAAACACTTGTATATGCTATACAGGCCAGAAATTCATTTATTTATATGGAAAAAGCCTTGAAAATAGTCATAGCATAGAAACAAGTAGTGATAAAATGTCATTTTTATATGTTTTAGAGGTTTAGATCGACTTTCGGTAAAAAGCAATAAATTATATAATAACATATAAATAAATAGATTGATAGATAAATCAATCAATAAGTATTAGGCATGTTGTACAT